AGAGTTAAATTCTGGGGCCAACTGTACATTCCTTGTGGACTGCGGAACAACTTGCCAAGAGGGCTAATTATCTCATTGTAGAAAAACCAAGTAGATAAATTCAAATTCTCCAAGTAAAGAATTTGGGGGGTTTTCCCCCCCTGATTTGAATATTTGGGCAAAAATTCTTAATCTCTCCCTTGCTACATGTATACATGTAGCCCAAAGATTAACATATGATTGAGATGAAAATGTAACTCTTCATACTTAATCTTAAAGTCAATTGAGATATGATGCCAGGTTATGTGTTCAACCCCAGCATAAAAGGTTAATCACAAACAACCTTTACACATAGTTACTTTACTCAATGCTCCTGACAACCGTGTAAAGTTAGTATCAGTATTATTTCTATTTTACAGTCAAAGGAACTCAGAGAGTTAAGCATCTTTCTAAGATCATTTAGCAAGAAAGAGAGCAGAAATTTGAATTCAGGTCTTTTGACTTCAAAGCCCAGGCTATTTCCCCCACATCACTGAATTTTCAGTCTAACATTGCAAAGCAGAGGCTTGTTCTCTTTAAAGAATCAGAATTAAAGGATCAGAATTTTAGGTGTTTGTTCTCCTTAAAGGATCAGAATTTTAGGATATAGGTTGATGAGTCCTGACATTTCCTTACTGTAACAAGTTAAGTCTTCATTTAAGAGAGAACAACTTGTGATTTTCTTCCATTGGTGGGCTAGACAGATAATAAAAATGATAGCAAAGGTTATTAAAATTTATATGGAGAACAGCACAGATTGGAATAACTACAAAGTGAATTCCTTAAGCCGCAATAGAAAGATGGTGAAATAGCACAATATGAAAGAATTCTCCTTTAGCTTCAGATGCCTAAATATGCCATCAAAAGACTGCTCAATTCTCAAATGCCAGTATTTTCTGACTCCTCTAGAACCTATTCTTAATGCAAAATATCAAAGTCAGCGGGATAGTAGGTGTCCCAAAATGTCTTAATTCAGAGAATTAGTGTTAACTGAGCCTGATTAGCTCCATTTATCTCTAATTAATTACCTTTATCTAATTAGACACTTTGTTTCCAGTAGACATGGAGTCAAGTAGACTAGATTATTAGTGTAGTCATTGTGCCTTTACAAAATCCTGAAATTAATGAAACGTGCAAAAGAATCTGCAGTTCTAATTGCACAGGTGTTGCCTTATGGCAAAGCTTTATCATCTGATTACACCAAGGGGTTATTAGTGACTTTTTATATAGAGGATGAGCCTATGAAATGTACCTTAGCAACAGCTCATTAGTTTAGGGTTGTTACTGTATTATTTATTACATTCGGCCTTCCCCATTATCTAGATTGATTCATGGACCTATATATTTTTTCTCTTCTCTGAGCAGAAAAAAAATAAAATAAAATAAACCATCATTATGAAGAGTCCAGATGCAGTGTGGAAAAATGCAAAATGTGTTTATCAGTTACAACGTGACTCTTTAAGACAGAAAGCTCTAAAGTTAGATGAGATCAAAATCAAATTTATTGTTTTTTTCCTATGGAAAAAGAACCAGTTTAAATTACTGAGGAGTATGGAATGATTCATATATGTGATCATAAAAAACATGTGGCTGTCCTAATGTCTTCACATAACTGAACTGGCATACCAAGGTGTGTAGAAGAAAAAAAACAAAATGTTTTTACACTAAAATATATTTGTATTTATTCATTTTCACTCTACATCTTTCCAAGATGGGTTGAGACATCTCTCTGTATGTTCATCCACAACATTAATAAAAATCCATCTCTTAGTTTATTTTTGTTTTTCTTAAGGATTTGTTACCAGATGGGGAAAACTAACAAATTATATAATCAAGCCTAGCTGAAAAAGCAAGATTTCAATGGCTGCTTACAAAAATGTGAAGTGCTTTTTCACAGTAAGGGTAGTAGGTGTCTGCAAAATACTAAAATATCCCAACCTTTGTATTTTCAATCTTTCTTCCTCATAACCATTTGAAGAAGCACTATTTTTCATAATCAAAGAGTAATTAAACAGCTAGAAGTAAATCTAGCCACAATCCTATGCCAAACATGTTTACTGACAAAGCAGTAACTCCTTTAAATACTGTCAATATAAATATGTCAAATGGGTTTTAAAATCATCTCTTTCTGTTCCCCAACAAAAATTCCTGTCCAGATATGAGCTATATATTGCTGTTCACTTACTGCTGAATCTAAACTCGTGAAATGATAACGGGTAAATGCTATATAGAGCATGACAACTAATTTGAGTGGTAATAATGAATATTTAATGATCCTACTTTCAAGCATGAACATATAACTTTTCATGTATTCCTTACCAAAATCATAACCATTAATCTAAAAATTATGTTTGCAACTGAAATAATAGCCAGAAATTATAGATTACAGCCAAGTCAGAATATTGCATAAATATGCCATATGAACACAAGCACAAGGGCATGAAGGAAGGTTCAGCCTCCGGTTTTCATTCAATTGAAATCCTCTCTTTGAAATGTATACAAGTTACAGTGATTAGTAGAGAAGATATTTGAATCCAGAATAAAAAGGCTATTATTTCTATCAGTAAATAAGTACAAAAGCCAAGGTCATTTTCACTCTTCATTGGCTCATCATTTCTAAACAAAAATATCATGTATATAAAAATGTGCCCCCTATAGGGATAATTATTTTTAGACTGCTCAATTTAAATCAAGGAAAGAGTGAACATAACATTTGTCAGAAATGAAGAATTTTTATATCTTAAATTTCTTTTTTTTTAATATATATGTAGGTAATTTTCCCAATTGTGTCCCACAATCAGAAACTAGAAACGTGACTTTGGGAAAGAAAGAAAAAGATCTGAAAAATGCATAATGTGCTTTAAAATGGGCTTTGTTCACTGATGGAAAGTATTTCTGGTCAAATTTCCAAGTTTTATCATTCCTAGTATTCAATAAGAGCTACATAATTTCATATGCCTGCAATGTTGCAAAAAACCACATCTCCCTCCTTTCCTAGTTGGGTTTGCTTTTGTTGTTACAGGGTAGTTAGTTGGAAACCAGTGCCACTGCAGTCACAAATACACAATTTTACATCAAATCCCAGGGCTTCATGTTTTTTGTTTGTTTGTTTTAAAAGGCACATTGTGCCTATAAAATTCAAGGGGGAGAAAAACTAATAATGCAAAAAAAGAGTAGCCAGTAAAATCTGCAGTTTTTTCCCAATTATGACCCTGTTTATTTGAAATTAAGTGTCCAGCTGAATGGTACACCATACCTGCCCCCGCTCATCAACACGGTTCTGCCTCTTCAGGATTCCAGCTTACAGGCCAGGGTGGCATGTGTTGGGTCACATTCTTCAAATGTGTACATAACTCACCGAACACATTTCTAACTGAGCAGGTGTTCTTGACTAAAGCCAAGGCAAGATCAAATGAGAAAAGGAATTCCACATATCCTCTGTAAACTGTAAAGTGCTTCAGAAATATAAGATGGCAGCATTCTGAAGTAACCCTACCTAAGGATACTAAACTCCTGATAAAGCTTCATTTGTTCACCTCAGCCGCCTTGCTGTTGCCCCTACACAGACACGGCACTTAGTCAATAAAGTCTTTGTCTTTCCTGGGTTCTTTCCCGGCCTTCCATTCTTGGTTTCTTCGGATGGAGGAAAATTCCTATTAAAGAATGTACACCAATTAATTCTATTTTAGTAGGTTTATTTTGCCATGTACATATACATAGGCACTGCATATAGTATGGTAAAGAACATGGTAACAAATATCGGCAAGTTTATGTATCATTTCCATTTATCGTATTTTACAGCCTTGTTCATCACCTCCCGTACCAGCTCACCAAACTTCCCCGGAGGAGCTGCAGACCAAATTCCTTAGCACCCAGCGGCTCTGAGCAAATACACAACATGGTAGCAAGATGCAAAAATTGAGACAGACCGAAGGCACACATCAGGGGGACGAGTTAGGAGTGGGGAAAGGTTGTTTTGTTTATCTTGTTTTTTAAGGGGTGGGGGAAAACCTAACTTTGGCTAGTGGGAGAGAAAAAAGCTGGAGTCTTTTTAACACACACAGAACAGGTTAATATTGTGCTAAAATATGTTCATGTATTAGGTTGGTTGAATAACGCAAAGGGTGGGCACCCAGAATGAAGACATGGAACCTAATGTGCTCGAATGTCCTCTCTTGCTGTATGAAAAGTTGTCTGGAGAGCAGTGCAAAGCCTCTTCTTCCTCTCAGGCCTGACGCGTCTGCTGCCGTGCTGTCCTCAGCAGCGCTGTGGGGTGGTGACTAATTGCCCCCGTAAATCACTGAGCACCACTGTGCTACTCCGTTTATTTTTCTGACAGTAATTTAGTGCTTGCTCTTTCCCACACTTGTCATTCCGTGTTTTTCCTCACATTAGAAGCCTGTAGAAAAAGGACAGTAATTAACGGTGCGATACATACTCATGGAAGCTCTTTCATCATATTGTGATAATTGTGCTCCTTGTCTGTCAAGGTAACCTCTCAGTTTCCAAGCTTCATGCAGCACTATTTGTCAACTCTAAACTGAGGACACCGTTTTGACTGGAGCTGAGCTGCTTCCAACCAGCTTTCCTATTTGTCCAATGAGGAGGTCATTTATATTTTAGGCAATGTGTCAAAAATTTTAGCCTGATCCGCACAATGAGATGAAAGAGTCATAATAAAGGTACACCTGGACTCTAGGTTATTGGTGGGGTCTGAGTATGGGCAGGTAGGCGTGATGGAGGGGTGTGGGGAGAAAAGGTATGCATTCTGAGACTTTCCAGAACAGCAACCAATTTTTTTCATGCTCTTCACCTTAATAAGGGGCCTTTCCTTTTATGCCAATGCCTGAATTTCCTTCCAGCATCTTCTTTTGAATAATCAAAATAACTTTCAAAGCTTTTTGTTCATGGGTGATGACACCACCCAGTTTCAATTAGACATACAGTTACGAAGCAAGGGACTGAAGAATTCAGCAAAAGAT